ACTTGGAGCTCGCACACTGGGCAGCACAGAGGTGGTGGTGGCAAACGCTGGATAAGTGGGAGGGCCGCAGCTGCTGCGGCCATGCACAGCCTTGATGAGTGAGCCCAGAGCCACATGAGGCCCAGGCTGGCTGTGGGGCCAGGTTACAAGGTGGTGCCAAGTGCAGGGGGGAAAGCAGCCCGTTCCTGTCCCACGGCCGGCACCCCGCACTGCAGCTGCTCGCAGCCCGCATGGGGCTGCCTGTGCCTGCTCCAGACAGCCCTGTGTGCTCTGCAAGCAGCTGCAGCAGGGACCACTGGCCACAGGGTGGGGAGGAGCTGCTTTTCCCTGCACTGGGAAAGAGCAGGGAATGAGCCTGGGGAAAAGCGAGCACGGGGGAGGGGCTCCCTCCGGCTGAGGGGCAGGGCCAGGCAGGCCCTCCTACTGTGGGAGAATAGGTTTAGGTTAGAGATCAGAAGGCAGTAGACTGATGTGCTGCGTCTGAAGCACAGCCACAGACTTTAACATTTAACTGACCTCTGTGCTGAGCTTCTCTGCTGGCCGTGTAGAGGAGCACAGCAGTCTCTATTGCTGACCAGCTTCACTGTAAATGAGTCCAGGGCTGCAGACACAACAGTGTAGAACAGCTGTTATGGAGGAAGCTAAATGGGAGGAAAGTGGCATGGGGATCTGGTGAAAGGACTAAGGGAAAAGAACCAAGGGGTGGAGGGGAAGAAGATAGACAGGATCTGCTCATTTCCACTAAAGAAGTAGGTGGAGGAGACAATGCCCAGATTCCCCTCTATCTGGGACTTGGGTCACAGTGCACAGTGTCACCCAGAACCTGGCACTCACCATTGCTCAAAGCAACTTGACTAAACTGAGACCCATAGACCAAAATTTGGGGAAGGATCTGTGAACAATCGATGATGACTTGCAGCAAAGGACTATGCTGGAAACAGGTGCCCAAGGCTAGGTGTAGGGTCTTGCTGTATTTAATATCTACAGTAAAGGTTTAGGAAAGAGAATGATCAGTGCTGTCATCAGACTTCCAGCTGAGACACAGGACCCCATTGTGCTTGACAATCTTGAGAATGGTCTAGAGCAGCATCACTCATTGGGAAAATTCTAGCCTGGCTCAAAGGTGGAAGCCTGGTGAACACAAGCTGATATAAAAAGAGACCCCAGTGTGTGCCTGCACCAAGTTGGAGGTGTGACTGCAGCACAAGCTGACATACCTGAGCACTGAGAGGGTCCAGAGGAGGGCTACTTGTATGATCACAGGGCAGCAGTGTAGGCCCTACAAGGAGAGGCTACAGGACCTGAACCTGTTCAGCCTCCACAAGAGAAGGCTGAGAGGGGATGTGGTGGCCATCTATAAACTTGCCAAGTGGGAGCAGCAGGCAATGGGACAGTCCCTGTTCCCCCGAGCACTACTGGGAGTAACACGGAACAGCTGTAAGTTGACAGAGTAGATTCAGGCTAAACATCAGGAGGCACTACTTCACAGTCAGTGCAGCTAGGAGCTGGAACCAGCTCCTACCCTGGGGGTCTTCAAAAGGAGGCTAGACTATCACCTAGCCAGGGTCATTTGACCCCAGCATAGTTTCATAGTTGGTATGGTCAGAAGGGACCTGAACAGATCATCAAGTCCGACCCCCTGCCACGGGCAGGAAACAATTTCAATTTAGCAACTTCCTATACTTACAAACAAATGGTACTGCCATGGGCACATTGTACAGGTCTCACACCCTCTTTCCCCCCAAAATGCCAATACATTATAGAAGAAGTTGAAGCCCACTTCCTCCACAACTGCCCTCTCATTCCCCTAGTATACCTCAAGTACATTGATGACATCATCATATGGATGCATGAGAAGGAATCTTTAGAGAAATCCCAGCAAAACTTAAACAACTTCCAGCCTTCCATCAAACTCTTTAGTACTCCACCCAACATATTAATTTCTTGGACACTACCATAACATTTTGTAATGGATACATGACCACCACGCTAATGGAAGCCAACCAACGGCTATAGCTAGCTCCATATGACCAGTGTTTATCCTAGACACCAGAATTCATCTTCTACTCCAAATGGTACGTTACAGCCATACCTGCTCTGATCCCACTGACTGCAACCAGAGTAGCGTGGTTAAAAGGGTCCTCATGAAATCATCTAGTTCAGCCCCCTGCTCAAGGCTGGATTATCCCTAACCAAACCATGCCAGCCAAGCGTCTGTCTAACTTGCTCTTGAAAGTGTCCAGGGAGGGAGATTCCACAACTTCTCTTGATGCATATCTTAGGCAGCTGGAACAGGGATTTCTACACTTACAAATACAAACCTAAAAAATCAAAGCTACTCAAAGCAACAGGGCCAGACTCAGACCCCACTCCAACCTGCTACAATACAAACCCTGTGACATGGGCAATATCAAAGAGCCCATCGCACCAAAATTAAATACTAACAAGCATAAGTCCAGATAAATTAATAGCCAATTTAAAAATAAAAATACAACTAGCATAAATGACTAAGCAGGACAGATGGGACAGATCAAGCAAATTACTACAATTTGTAAAATGTGCATTCAGCTAGAGAAATAACAATCATATTAACATTTGAGATAATTTTAAACTAATTCCTTAAGTCTTAAAAAGCCTCCAACAGGTAGGCAGCTTGTTAGGAAAAAGGATTTCTCACCTAGGTTTCAAATGAAAGTTTTAGAAGAGCCCTTATTCAGCAAGGGCTAAATCAGCAAGAACTGTAGTTCAAGGCTGAAGAGTGTGGATTGAGATGAAACCAGACTGTTACACTGTATTGGTTGGCTCAATAGAGGTTCTATGCTTATATTCATATACCTATTTTTATCCCCAATGTAAGTTATATTTTGTCCTAAACCAGACCTAACTGGCATAAAACCACTAAACGTACTCTGCATTTGTATACTAGACCAGCAAGTGCTAAGTGTTCTCAACCTTTAGCTTAATTCTTTTAACCAGTCTTGCTCACACTTTCTAAAGTTATTCTCATCTCTGACATTCTCTTGCCTACTCATTTCCATTGCCTCTTAACTTAGCAACTGCAGTATGACATACCCAAACTTTGGTCAAGCAACTAGCAGCTTCGGGCCTACTACAATCTGCAGTTCCCTATATGAAAAAAAATGAATGGACACCAATCTATCATCAGTTCCAGAAAGACAAAAGCCTGTGGTAGGACACTTTAACGCCCTCAGACATTCTATCACTGACCTCAGAGTAGCTGATCTTAAAACAACAGAACTTTAAAGACCAACTTGAATGTAAAATTGTGGAACAAGAAAGCAGCTACAGACTGGACTGTGGATTCATAGATTGTAAGGCTGGAAGGAACCTTGGAAGATCATCAGGTCCAGCTGCCTGCATCAAGGAGGAAAGATAATTGGGGGTCAGGTGACCCCAGCAAAGTGACTGTCTAGTCCTCTTGAAGATTTCCAGGGTAGGTGATTGCACCACCTCTGGAGAGTGCTTATTTCACAGTCTGGTCACCCTCGCTGCAAGGAAGGTTTGCCTAATGTTGAGCCTGAATTGATCTTCCAGGAGTTTGTGGCCATTACTCCTAGTTTTCCCCCTCGTGTGCTCTGGTGAACAGTTGCTCACTGAGCCCTTGATGTACTCCCTTAGTGTATCAGTAAGCTGCTACCAGGTCTCCTCTCAGCCTTCTTCTCCCTTTCATTCATGGTGCTAGTCAGTTTGGTGCTGCCAAGCCTGTAGGTGTGTTGGGGGTTGCTACTCATTTCTCGATGTTGAACTTCATCAGATTCCGATCCACCCAACTTGCTAACCTGTCCAGGTTCGCCTGTATCTGTAGCCTATATCTTCAAACATATTCATGCTTCCCCATAACTTGATATCATCCACAAACTTGGCCAGTGAACTCTTCGCACCCACATCCAAATCATTAATAAAGATGTTGAAAATACTGGACCAAGCACCAACCCCTGTGGCACATCACTGCCCACTTCTCGCCAGGATGACAGAACCATTTACTACGACTCTCTGGGTCCTATCCTGCAGCCAGTTTCTCACCCACCTGACTGTCTCAGAGTTAAGCCCACAATCCTCCAATTTTCTCGCAAGGACATCATGGGATACTAGATCAAAGACCTTTTGGAAGTCAAGGTATACAATCTCTCTCATGTCCACATGGCGAGTTACCTGGTCATAGGAGGAGATGAGGTTGGTAAGACAAGACCTCCCTGCAATAAAGCCATGCTAGAAGAATCTTACCTTCTGCAAGCTTATCGCAGATAGACTCCTTAGATTCTTATCTCATTACCTGAGCCAGTGTTTTTAAGCCCCCATGTCCCCCAGTGAATTAACAGCTTTGTTTATCCCCTTTGATCTCTTCAACCCACCTTTAGTTCTCTCAGCAGTGCCCTTTCCCCTTAGTATTTAAATGACCAGATTCCTTTTCATCAGGACCCCCTATATCTGCAAGTCCATTTACATTGTCACACGAAGTAGGCTGTTGTCTGTGAAACTTTGTGCGTTTCTGAGCAAGTTAATCTCTGAAGTGCCACTGTGCTGTGCCTTTTGCATTAAATTATGGAAAAGTATTACTTGCTTATTAATAACAAGCAACACCTTCCTCTTGATGAAGACGTAGTAGCTACATGGCAGTAATAACCCTGTAACAGTTATTGGTATGGAAAAATAAACTGGGGTAAAGCACTTTTGAACAAGTTGTTAAACAATCCCACACTGGTGTCCATCTCCTCAAAACCTCATCATGGACAGAGCTGAATCACAAACCTTTACCTTGCTTAGCCCCAAGTACGTCACCATGGATAAAACAGGGGCTGCCAATGCAAAGACCAGCAAGTGCTTTCTGATTCGATTCCGTTCCAGTCCAGCGTGCATAAGGAAGGAAACCAGGCCAAAAGCTGCTGGTGCCTGTAAGAAAATAAGAGTCAATACAGCTTCTTCCTACCTAGGATTCTTGGCAACTTTAAGCAGAACTTTGAAAACAAAGTAGCTGAGGTAACTATTTCTACTAGCTCTACTGAAGTGGAATATTCTCAGCCAGAGCACTATAGTTAAACTAACTGACCTATGAAACATCAGGCCTTTCTCTGTGTTGTCACATCTCAATAACCATTGTAGCATTATTTCTTTACACCACCACTGTATATGAAGCTATACTCTGGCTGACTAAGTAGCCTGTCAGAGTATTAGGGTCTGTATGACAACTGTATTGCAGAATATTGACACGTCCATTTCAATTTGATTGGCTACAATAACTGTTTATTCCAATGTATTCCAATTCTGTAAATCGGAATTTTCAGGCTACCTGCAAGAAAAAAAGGTATGCGTCCTTAGTGCCCCCCACAGTCCCTTTAACCAAGATAGAAAAATCTTCAAAATTTAAATCCAATTCCATCCCATTAAGATGGGGTTGTGGGGAGGACTGTTAAAAAAAGGAAAACAGACTGCAGCTGTTTGGCATGGCAGGAATAGTCCTTGTTGCTCTATAGGTATGGAGGTAGGGGTAAGGAAAGCAAATAAGTAGGGACCTGCCAAAATCACAAGTTCACAGTTTCTGTGGAAACTGCTTTTTTGGGCAGGCTCTGCAAAAAATAAAAAAATGCAGGCTCCATGCTTTTGGCAGGCTCCCTGACAAAAGCAACCCACTTACCAAAAATAAGATGCTGGCTCCCTTTGGGGAGCCAGCAGTCCTTGTAGCCACTATGGCCTGGCTCTGCAGCCTGCAGGTGAGGGGGAAGGAGGCTGCCACTCCTGCTCCTGGCTGCTGATTAGCTGTGATGGCTACCTGTCATATGGCCCCACCTCTCACCACCTATCAGTGGCAAAGGGCAGGGCTGCATGACAGACAGCCCTTGCATCCAAAGGGCTACCATGGTTGTTTGGCTAGAGGGGGTGGCCTGCTGTGCTTCACCTGTGAACATGGCTGCCAGTCCCATTTGCTGCCCATGAAATCAGCTGGCAGCCACCTCAAGTTCAGCAGACCCCTAGAAATAAGAGCTGGTGAGGTAAAGTGCTTTAATTAGAGGGATAGAAAACAGGATTTTATTTATTTATTTTTTTAAAAGGCAGACAAGGTTCTTTGGGTAAATGTGAAATCTTTTATTAGACCAACTCATCTATGAAAGGTGTTTTGTAAATTCCCTTTGAGGATTAGAACTGAGAGACTGCAGAGAGAGTGGTTGTCTTCTGAGAAATGGGCACCCACAGGTAATTCAGTGCACTAAATGCCCTGATGGAAAATATGTAGGTGAAACCAAACAATTGCGCATCAGAATGAACGCACAACAAAAATCTATCCAACACTAAAATACCCAATTACCTGCAGGTGTGCACTTCTCACAAAATAACCACTCCAATCTCTCAGTTCTAATCCTTAAAGGGAATTTACAAAACACCTTTAGTAGATGAGTCCATGAACTTCACTTCATAAATCTACTAGATACAAAAAATCATGGACTAAATATAGACATTGGATTTATGGCACATTATAACCTGCCTGCCATCTGACAACCCCAGACCTACATTTTGCATATTGGCTTCTAGTGCATCCAGAACACAAAACAGCAGCAGACTCCCTATGCCTGAAGAATGTTTGTGCCCCAAACCCTGCAAAGAACAACTTTTCCAACTATTTAGAGGTCTAAGATACCACATTTACCCAAAGAACCTCGTCTACCCATGTCCTTAGACCAACATGGCTACAACCAACACCCCTAAAAAGCCCACAATGTTCTCTCAAAAAATTCCATTTTAGAAATGACCTATTTTTTAAAAACCTTTTCTTTATTCCTTTAAAGTTAATATTCTACATTTTCAGCATGTTGCCAGTAACCATTTCAACCGAAGAAGTGTTCTTATTTTTAAGAACTCAGCAATCACCATATCCTGAACTAAAATACAGTGTGACCTTTGAGCTTAGCATTTTCAGCTCTGAACATGGTTATAACATGCATTGTTTGTTTACTGCACAAATGAAAAATGCAAGTGCATCAGATTATATTTCCAAATCCTGTAGGCATGCAAAAGGTAAGAAAAAATACATGGCTAATAACTGTAATATATTGTCATCACAACAATGGCATATACAACTGTGCACTTGAAATCCTTGAAAACAAGATCCAGTAAATATTGTACATGGTACAGACAAGACTGCCCATATATTAAAGAGAAACTGGAAAGCTGTTTTCAATTATAATATTCATAGCTTCCCCAAGTCAGCATTTCAAATAACTTATTTTAGGAATTGCATTCAGTTTTCCTTCAGATGTCTGTAATAACGTAACTAGTTTAGCCTCACTTGCGTTTTAAAAAACGAAACAAAACAAACAAAATACAAAACAGGATCATTATTAGGACTTCAAAAAGATTTACCCTTCAACCTGTCAAGTTCTCATCACATCTGCATTGTTCCTATAGTGAGAACCACACAGACAGAAATTAACTGTAGCAGGAGAGGAAGCTGTTTTCTACACTTTAACATGCCCTCCAAGTCTCTGAAGGGCTGTTGGCATACCTAAGTCAAATCTTTCTCTCTGACCCCCCGCTTCAAATGCCTTGTGAGGCTGCCATGTTTTGTTTTTTGTTTGTTTGTTGTTGTTGTTGTTGTTTTTTGTTTTTTGTTTTTTTAACTAGTCTGTGCTGTTCTCTTCTTCCCCCCTATTTGTAGGCTTTGGTTGGCTATCATGGCTGCACAGTTTGGTATCAAATAGCCCAAATCCCTCCTTATTCTTTCCCTGTCCAGACTGACTGGACATACTTTATATTTCAACACCCAGAACCATCCATCTTTACACAAGCATTCTTCAATCCCTTAATTGCCATCACTCCCCTGCAGGACCACATTCCCAAGAGCCCCAAAGCATCAACTCCTACAGGTAAAAGCCTGCCCCCCACAACTTTAACAAAAAAAAAAAAAAAGACTTCACACTCAGGACTTACCTTGTGTAACATAATTGCAACAAACACTATCAACTGGACACTGGTCTGAGAAGTGGAAGCAGCTGCACCCAACGCAACACCATCAGCTTAATGGATAGAGAGTCAGGAGAGTGCACATGAAATCACTGATTATTTATCCACACAGTTTTACTTTTTTCACTGGCCAGTAATACATAACCTTACACTTGTACAAACAATTCCCCTCACTTATGAATGCCTTAGTGTCCCACCATATGTCTAACACGCTTTGTTGTTGTTTCTGTGAGCCACTCAGAGTGAAACCCTTAAGTCAATGCGAGATTGAGTACAGACTTCAACAGGGCAAAACTCTAACCCAGAACCAACTCAGTCTTTGGCACATACAGATGAACTGGAATCATTCTGCAGGGACAGCTTTGGTAACTAGGCTCTCCTATGTTATGAAACAGGCTTCCTATGTAAAAACAGGCTCAGTTTTTTTTTTAATTGACAGAAATGTAGATATTACTGTTGGGATTATGAAGGGTCTACATATAACAAACATTGTTTTAATGGATAAAGAAAAGAAAGGCATAACTGGTAGCTTATAAGAAAATTTCTTTTGATTGCTTTGGCTTGAGATGGCCACAACACAATAACAAACGGTTCTAACTGGTTTCATTCATTCACCAACCATTCATATTATACCACACAACCCTCTGTCTTATACCTAGCATCATTATTTTCTGAGAAAAAATGCCTTAAAAGTAATTTAAAAAATTTTAACATCGATATTATTCTTCACTTCCCTCCATTTGAAAGCCTGGTGTAATTTAAGGCTATAAATCCAGCTGCACAGGTCTTTAAAACTCTTGGAAACACCCACACACTTACAGAACTTCTAAAAGTTACTGAAGCTGGCTTGTTGAGCACAGATGCTGTACCAGAGACAGCAAGCTCCCAACCTGCCAGGGATGGATTAAAATGATGCCACCCTATGGGTAAGGGGTCTGTGTGCATCTATCTGCGTGCACCTGCAACCATGTCTGCCTGCATGTCCAGATTTCTAGTGGCAAAGGCCCCGTGATCTGCCCGGTGCTGGAGCTAAAACCAGTTACTAGTCAAAGTCTAATTAATACCCATCCTGCACATAAGTCAATCCCTTCTCACACGACACGTAAATTTTTTTCCTGTAAAATAAAACCAATGATTTTTTTTTTTTAACGGATAGTCTTTGAAAGCTCCTCAGAGTTCTGGAAGTGTAAAAGTGATTCATCAGAGGGATTAGCAAACAAAAAATAAGCAAAACAGCAATTAATGGGGGGGGAGGAGCAGCAATTATTTCAGGTGCAGGGCCGCTTACCGAGTTTTGGCAAGCTGTTGAAGGCCACATTTCCCTCTCCAGCACAGGGAAGCAGGAACAGCCCCATGGTCCCAGGCCAGAAGCCTCTGCTAAGCAGGGGTTTCTGGTTGGGGAGGCAGAGCTGGGCTGGCCTTGCTGCTGGCTTCTGCCACCAGCTTCCTCTGGATCTTACTGCCACTGGCTCCTGTCATCTTTGACAGGCAGCTAGGAGCAAATAAATATTTAACTGGGGTGGGGCAGTGTAACAGTTTAACATAGAGGTGAAGCTGGTCTGGTGTTGATTTAGGGCTCCACTGAATGATGACCATTAACACCTATAAAGCATGGGTGTGGCTACAGGGGAGCTTGGAGACCATGAAGAGCCCATAAGATAACAGGTGTCCTGAGGGGCATGGATGGCCAGGAGGGCCCATATAGCAAGAGGACAGGATTGGAGTTAACAGGGTCTGAGGGACTCACTGGGAGGAAGGACCAGGGCTCATTCTAGGATCCTTGGGCAGGAGCGTCCGGTCACTTTTTAAGATCAACCAGGTACATCAAGGTGTGGCAAGTGAAACTGAAAGGAGGATACCCTAGAACCAGAGCATGGCAGGAGCAGTCCAGTCATCAGAGGGTATCATGGCTGCCCCTGGGGCCTGGTCCTGTTCCAGCAGAAAGTGAACAATGCACAACAGGTCTTCAGGAAAACAAAAATATTGCATCCAATTTAAGTGATATGGTACATTTCAGTGAAGTGGAACGCATTCTTTTGCATTAAGAAATGTCCAAAACCATCACTCTCCTTCTGTTTTTCAAACAAGTAGAGGATATAAAAATATTCAAGACTTTTCAAAACAGCATGCTTTTTACAGAAAAAGTAATTTACTGAATAAATCAAGTGGGGACTCACTAGCCTCTAAATGACTGGGTCAAGCATGTTATTACAATGACTGATACAAGTTTTGTTCCTCTTAATTTTTGGCTTTGACAATACTTTACATCTGTAATATTTATATTCAAACAAATTATAATTGTAAAAGTTCTCCTGCTGTTTCTTGGCATGTAGGTAGTTTTCCTACCAAGTTAAGTCATCTTACTGTGATCAAGGTTTTTTAAACCCATTATTATCCAAATTACATCTACCTAAACACATACACTAGCTGGTGTTGATTTTTAAACAGTGGTATGTTAGCTTGGTTAGAAAAAGGTGTAAAAGGTGCCTCTCAACATATAAATAAAATCCCCACAGAATTGGTGAATGTGTATTCAGGAAAATTAGTTTTCAAATTGGCGTTGTCCAGAAAGGCAACCTAATACCATGGCAGACATAGCCCCTTTTCGGTTATATGAAAAGAAGTTTCCAGCCTACCTGCAGCATGGACAACTAGTCCAAGCGTAGTAGTGATTTTGGAATTGCTTGATCTTCCCGTTTCTGGGTCTGAAATAATGATCATCAAGAAATTAAGAATTACCTATACAAGCACAAAAGCTATGCTGGAAGAAAAATATTACTGACATTAAGGCATAAATTCCTAGCTACAACCAATTTTTAGAGTCATGCATTTACTTTAAGACCTTTTTATCTTTAAAAAAAATACCTGGAAACACAAAAGATACATTTTTTAGACCCTAACAACTTCAGAATCAACACAACTTTTCTACCCACAAATGAAGACAACGATTATCTTTCACAAGTTACAGGAATGTTCACGGTGTAATACAGCAGCCATGTTTCTTAATCTCTTGAAACCAAAGTACAATTTAAAATTCTGTGCTGGGAAGGTAGAAGGGAATAAGTGGCTCAAGCCACACCTTTGTATCCTCAGGATGTTAAGTTGCTCTAAGGGCCAATGCAGTTCCCAACAAAATGAGAGCAGCCAAAAGTGGCTCCAACTTGCACGATGGTGCAGACAGCTTTCTGCAGGCAGGCTCTACAGACTGGGACTTCCCAGAATTTCCATACTATTCTCATGTGCTACAGGCCCAATTCCATCCCCTCTACTCTTAACATGGCCCTTCCAACAAGCCTCAACATGGAGAACACCTTAGGGCTCCCAATAGCTGGAAGAAATGGTATAATGTGGGCACTTCATGGACCTTCTATGCCACCACAGGTGCTGAAGCAGACACACTAAATCTCACCATACACTTTAACGCAGAAAGAGGATGCAAGACATAATTGCTTCTGATCAAATACAGACAGGCCATTCATGTCTGCAACTGATTGAAGATTACTCTACTGCCTCATCATTTATGTGTATTCTAACTTTTTATGTTGGGGAAAGAAAGAAAAACCCACACCCAACAGGAGGGGTATTGATCAGTAAAAACATTTTTTACATCCCCTTAAACAGACCATCAGCTATTACATAGCATAAGGACACCCATTCTTTTAATCCACAATGTTCAAACACCTGCCTTCAAGTTCTTTCATCATATGATTGCTATAAATTTAAGCTTCCTTCCTTCCCCCTGAACAGTCTGACAAAAATCAGATAATCACATTTAATTTTATACCTTCATGGTAGCATCTAGAATTATTTTTATTTGAAGCAAAGGAAAATCTAGTCACCTGGGGATAACAAAATTGTTAGGCAATTAATATCACTGGTTTAACTCATGAAAGGGAATTACATAAATTCCAAACTATTCTGGCAACACTTCCAGTTAATGCGCTGCATTTCACATCTTGGACACAAAGCAAAGAGTAAGAACTGTTCCCTATAACAAAGTTTTTATGCTTCTGATGGGTCAACCACAAAAAAGAAGTCTATTTTCAGCTAATAAGGAAACACAAGGAACAAGGATTCTGACACAGGTCATTCACCCAACTTTCCTGGTGGCTATTTGCTAAGCCTCTCTTCATAAAAGTTAATCTAATAAGGTAACCAATTCAGTAAATAAAGGCAAAACATGAGTATTTCTGGAGAAATTTTTCAAAAAACATTGAGAAAACTGTGGAAGAGGTAGGAAAAAACAAGGGAGAGGATATGATAAAAACCCGTAACCCTAAGTACATTGTTGAAAACTGACAAGTATCGAGAGCAATAACAAAGTAAAATGTGACAGAATGGATATCATCATCCACTGTATTTGTCACAAGACTTCCATAAGGAGAATAAAACTTTACATTAAAGCTATAAATGTTTACTGACCTAGTTGTCAGAAAGCATTATCTAAACGCTGTTCTACCCTACACAGAAAACCCCCATGCATTTACAGTAAATGTACTAGGATTAGGGGTGCACAATAGAGATTTCTGGGGCCAATACTGCTAGCCGATTTTTAAGGAGACATATTGGCCAATACTGATCTGCTTTCCGATACCAGCTGGAAGCAGCTGGTAAGTCCGGTGTGGTGGGAGGGGAAGGGCAAGGGAAGAGGAATGGGGGCACATGCTCCTCCCCCACTCCCTCCCCCCCGGGTGCAAGCAGTGGCAGGAGCCACCTGCACCTGTCCGCTCCCTCGCTGCAGGGGGAATTGATCTTCCCCCCACCTCCCCATGCCCCTTCCACCACACTGGACTTACCAGCTGGTGAGACAGCTCTCCACGCTGCTGGCTGTGCTCCTCACTGCCCGAGTACTACATTGCAACTTTTTGCAGCACTGGCATTTAAATTGGATAAATTAAATCAGCACCATTGGGCCGATATCTGATACAGCCAATTTTCTTTATATCAGTACTGATCTGATACTAGACCAATGTATGGGTGCACCTCTAGCTAGGATGATCACGACCAATGTAATCAGTGCAGAGGCAGAAAAGGATCTTGGCGTCATTATTGATGCCAAAATGAACATGGGCCGACAGCATGGGGACACGAGCAGGAAGGCCAACTGTACCTAGTCATGCATCCACAGATGCATCTCAAGCAGGTCCAAGGTGGTGATCCTCCCCCTCTAGTCAGGCCACAGTTGGAGTACTGCGTCCAGTTCTGAGTGCCACACTTCAGGAGGGATGTGGACAACATGGAGGGTCCGGAGGAGGGCCACTCACATGATCAGGGGGCAGCAGGGCAGGCCCTACGAGGAAAGGCTACGGGACCTGAACCTGTTCAGACTCCACAAGAGCAGGCTGAGGGGGGATCTAGTTTACAAACTAGTCAGAGGGTACCAGCAGGCATTGGGAGAGTCCCTGTTCCCCCGAGCACTACCAGGAGTGACAAGAAATAATGGTCACAAGCTGGCAGAGGGTAGATTCAGGCTAGACATCAGGAGGTGCTACTTCACTGTCAGGGCAGCTAGGATCTGGAACCAACTTACAAGCGAAGTGGTGCTGGCTCCTACCTTGGGAGTCTTTAAGACAAGGCTTGACAATCACCTTGCTGGGGTCATTTGACCCTAGTACTCTTTCCTGCCATGGCAGGGGGTCAGACTTGATTATCTGCTCAGGTTCCTTCTGACCCTACCAACTATGAAACAATGGAAGTCAATATAGGTCCCATCATGCCTGTGGCCCATGCAAAATTCACTGAAGTCAATTGTACACAGCTGGGCAGAGCAAAAAGTAAAGCAGAAAAAGTAAAAAACTCTTTGGCATAGCCTTTTTCAGTCTAGATACTTAGTGCTTACCAGGAGTACACAAATTCAGCATACATAATGCTCATACAATCCTAGCACAGCCCACACTAAAAGTTTAACACCTCATTAACATTGTTACCTTGTCTCTCCTAATGCTTCTAACAGCGGCCTTGACATTAACAGGACCTAGTTGGTTCAGGTTTACTATCAGACATCTGGAAATTGACAGCTGCTAATCAGTTAATGAATTATGCAGTTAAAAAGAGTACAATTACATTAGGAGTAGAGACTGGGGCCAAGGCGCTCCTGTGCACTTAAGCAGTTTCTGAGCTTAATTTACCTGCAGATAGCTGACATTTGTTACAAGATAAGCACAACAGCTTACAAATTGCAACCAACACTGTTACTCAGCCAGGCAAATTACATCCTTTCAATATGCATTAGTAGAATACATACCACATTAATCCTACAAAGCTTCAACTATCATTACAGTATCAATACTGTTGTTCATCCATGAGTTTTAAACAAGTTCTCTCTCTTCAGCATGGCAAGGTTTAGCCTCCAAAGCATTAATGAATTAAATAAGCAAATCATGCAGTACTTGAACGAAGAGGGTAACACTGCTTTAGTATTTCATACCATTGCTGTGTGCCTTTACTGTCTGTAGAATAACCTAGCAAAACTTAGCCCTCAACCTGAATGGTAGCCTCTGATAAATTTAACAACAATGTCCAGAAACCTGCAATGTGTTATTTAATTTTAGCATTTTGGTTGCTGCCATGAACTCTAACCCAATCCTACTATGTTAGAGGAGTCTTGACTTACCATCTGGAGCATGCACATGAGAGTTGCCTATCTGGTCCACCAAAAGCATGAAGACAAAGCCCAAGACAAGGGAAACCCCAATGTAGGCATGTAATCTTGAGTGGTCGTGGCCATGCTCATGCACAACTGGTATCTCAGCTGCTTTCTCAGACTGAATCACATTTTGAGTCTCGCTGGCCTGATGGTGCTTCCCTGAGACAGACAGACATGGTGATTAGTAGTCATCATCCAGAGGGAGCTCTCAGAGTTCTCTATTCCTGGACTGAGAGCTTGACACTGTTAAAGACCTGGTTAGAGCAGGGGTTGTCAACCAGGGGGTATGCATACCCCTGGGGGTACTTGGACAAGTCCTAGGGGGTACACTCAGGTGGGCAGGGACAGAGCACTGCTATCTCCCAGGAGCAGGGTCAGGATGGGGCAAGGGTAGGGGTGCCCCTCTGTGGGGTGGGAAAGCTTGCACAAGGCAGTTGCTGCTGCCTTCACCCCAGTCCAGTGAGCTTCTCTGCCCTGCCCCTGGGAGGTGGCAGCTCTGTCCCGCCTCCCCACTCAGCATCTGACTGCATGCTACCCCTCCCCCCCCCGCTTGGTGTCTGGCTGGTGGGGGTACTTAGACTAAAAAAGGTTGAAGACCACTGAGTTAGAGGAAAAGTGAGAGGCAAAGATTTGGGATTTTACTAATGACCTGGTTTATCCTGCGGACAGACACTAGTGGCATACGCTCACTTGCAGATTTCCTTCTTTCATGCTCTTGTGCAGGAGAAGAGTGAATCCCCAGTAAACAAGCAGGTGCCACATTACCGAAATGCAACACAGAACCTTTATATTTATAGGAAATAGTGTGAAATGTTTTGTTTTAATTGTAGGTTGCCAGCTCTATCAAGGAATATTATCAAGTAGTTTAGAGCAGAGCTGTCCAAATTCAGTGCAGTACCCAGGTCACATGCTGCACAGACGATATACTGTGGGGATGGGCTCTTGGGATCCCCTCCTCTGGGTGACACTAGTGATCCTCCAGGTCTCCCCATCCCTGCTGCACAGGCAGCACATGGCCCCCTCCTGGACCCTCCCCTACCCTACAGCAATGGAAGAGGCAGGTGCAGGGGCCACAGGCCAAAAGTTGTACAGTTCTAGTTTAGTGGGGCTGTCCAACCTCCCAGTGGCTGACAGCTACAGACTCCTGGCCACATATCACACAAGCTACATACTGCAGCCCCTCCCCCCCCCTTTGCATCAGGGCATACAATGTGGTCCCCCGCACTACAGAGCCATGCCACATACCACCCAACTCTCCCAGCTACACAGTCTCTCTCAGTCTCTCTCTCCCAATGTTCTGCACTGTGTAGCTGTGTCCCCACGGGCAGGGTAAGGCAGCAGGAGGGACAAGGGGGAACCCAGGGACTCCAGTGACAGCACCTGGAATGCAATTGAGGGAGCAGCACCCACACTGGGAGTTTGGGGGCAGGGGAGGGAAGCAATTTAACACCAAAGTCTACCCATTAGACAGCCCTGGCTTAGGACATGAACCAGTAGGGTGGAATAATACACAAATGTAAGAGATATCCTACTAAATTTTCCTAAAACTAACAGTTTTACTGACATTTGAATTGAGAAGTATTTTATTAGACTGACAAAAGTCCAATTCAAAGCATCGATCCCTTCTGAATCCAAAAGTTAAAAATTATTCTTAGGGGTATGCTCACACTAGGAATATCAGTGCATAACAGAAAAAACAAAGCAAAACTCATAGTAAAGAAAGAAGAAAGAAGATGCGAGAAGGATGACATTTGTCTTGTTAGGCTCCAAATGTTCAAATTTGCAGTTAACGCTTCAGGAAAGATCACGAACACAAGTGTTTTCCTTTTGCCACCCCTACTAATTTCAAAGACAAAACAGTACAGAAAACAAACTGAAAGGTACTTAAGTGGTACCAGGGGGCAAGAAAGGGAAATTAAAACAGGCAAAATAGAATGTGGCAAGTCACATTTCACTATGAAAAAGTATAAATAACGAAGCTTTAAATTTACAAAGTAGAAAATAATTTGCATAGTATCAAACATACAGTGCCTATTGTGCCATGGCAAGCAGAGCCCTCAGGCCTCAAGAAGCACCATTTGCTTCCCTGCATACACATCCATTCCCATCAGGGAATGGTTGGTTCCCTGCATTCCTATCCATTTCCGCAGGAGCTGCACGTATGTACATCAGAAGTCACAACGTGACTCAAATGGGAAAGCGAGACTTTCTTGACGTGCATTTAACCCTACCTAACAGGGCCTGTTATAGGTTTCAAAAAACAAAAACAAAAAAAAAAAAACCGAACCAAAAGGAATGAAGTGGCTTCTCTCACTAGCTAATATGATCAAAGTCAGCTCATCTGCCCTCTTGCTGTACAGGTGTAGAAAAGCAGCACACATCTAGTTCAAACTAGTCAGGAATCAGGAGTTTTGAGCTCTGTTCTGGCTACCTCTGCAAACTCCATCCATAAAAGACCCTGATGTCTCTGTATCCCATACCTCTGTAAGGTAGGCACAAACCAGCGGCTGAGTCAGAAGTTTGAGCTGATATCCCCAGTTTGGGTCTCAAGCCTCTAGAACATGCTGTCTCAATCCCAAAAACAGGGATATTATACGTGTGTATTTGGCTGAAGAAGTACTTGTAAAGCATGTGAAATTCCCTAATATGAAAAAGGTGCTATGGAAGGTGTAAGCATGATGCTGTGCTAGACCCAACCTTTTAATGCTATAATTATTTTGATCCCCCCACACTGTTAGACACCTGGACAATTCAGGAAAAACATCTCATTGCTGCTCTTTTTATAAATTGAATGAACCTTTGGGGGGGGGGGGGGGAAATCAGTAATGGGGGCATGGGAGAAGGGAGGAAGAAGAATACATTATGCACAAGAGTTCAGTCATGCCACAAGCATAGATACTAATTTGCAATTAAAAGAACATTGCCAAGTTTATTATTTTCCCCTCTCTTCCCAACTCTCCTTTAGCAACCTTTGCCCTGTTCGCTACACCAGGCTTAGTCACTTGCTTTTGTCTTTCTCTCTTCTTTTATGTTCTCTCCATCATGTCTGGAATTAATTTCTTCATCTTGTCCCCCTCTTTTTTACAGTCTTCCCTTAAAAAGTCTGCTTCTGAGAGTCCTCAGAAGAGTAATCCAAAAATAGAATAAACCTGACTTAAAAGAAATCCCGCTTGTCAGTTACACTTTCTAGTCATATACACAAAAAACAGCTGTTTGGAAACCCTGTAGAGCAGGGATGGACAACCCATGGTATGCCACAAGTAGCATAGGAAGCTTTGTGTGTGGCAAATGTTAGATGGAAGTGGGGAGACAGAACAGGCAGCACAGGGAAGATGGGATAGGGAGCAAAGAGCATCAGATGCTTAGGCATCAGATGTAGCACAGAGCACAGGGTAGTAAGCACAGAATCAGACAGGGTAGAGGGCACAGGGCAGAGAGCACCATAGCAGATCGAGCAGGGGAAAGGAATCATAAGTGGCACCCAGGGAGGGCACAGAAATTAATTTGCAACTCTCCTGCCTACCAAGGTTGCCTCCACTGCTGTAGAAAAATAGTTACGAATTTCAACAAAAATCTTTCCCTTAGATTTTTGTTATAAGTTCCAACAAAAATATTATTACTGGCTTTGCTTTTGTAAGAACTAAATTTTTTTGGAAAAACCTTTGTTTGGGGCCAAACTATAATCCTTTAAATACATTTTTCCCCCCAAAAACAAAGATAAATAGAGAAGGGAACATATGTCCACAAGTTACCTCTCTCACAGCACCGATGAAAGTGTTCTCTAGACAGGAAAACAAAACAATAAAGTTTCTAGGAATGGTAACCTAGCAAACAGCAACCAGTAGAAATGGTGAATTTAAAACAGATAGAAGCCACAGTGGTCTGATCACAGAAGCCAATCTCAGAAACAAAGTGGTCTGACTGAGCCAATAAATACGCTTTGCAGAATTTGGCTTCAGGTGACTGACCCATTCACCTGGGGGGGGGGCGGGGGGGGGAAGGAAACTAAAGCACACTGAAGTCAAAAACTTCATTTTAAAAACTGACTGCTATTAAAAGCAACAAGTAAGAGAAAATAACCTTCCTCCATATATTCAGGTTCAGGTTATCTCCGTTTCCTACCGAACCTTGCGGGACCCCACTATCCACATCTGTCGGACTTCACTTACAAGTGTACAGCCTTCTGCACCGAATTTGTGGTAATATTACCAATAACATACAGCATCAAGAGGGACTTGGATACAGATTACACAGATAAAAGATGATTCACCTATTCTAGCATCAGCTA